TGCCAGTCCCACAGAGCGTGGAGGAGGGGCAGCTGGTGGGAACAGCCTGTCACACCTCACCCGCCACCTGCGCCCAGGCTGGGCCTTGAGGCACCCTCCTCCCCTGCCGAGTTGTCCTTCGCCCCCCCAGTGCAGGTGCAGGGGTGGGGAAGGGGGATCACTCCGTGTACATCCCACTCTGGGTCTAGCAGTGGCTCACTCGGGCCCGCGGTGCTTGAGGTCACATCCAGGTCTGGTTTGGGTTTTGTGCAGGTGGGCACCACCCCTGTGGTTCTTGTAGCAAAGGCGACAGCACAGGGGTGTTGCACCACCCACATCTGCCTTCCGCCCTTCCCGAGCACCCTCCGTGTGTGCTAGAAGGACCCATCTTTCTGCTGGGGGGGCACCCACTTGAAACAGCCAGACTGTGTGATAGGGCAGTACGATGGCGGCATAGCTGGTGTAAACCCAGCTTTAGGCACGGGTGAGCCCAGCTGACCCTGCACAGAGCGGGGCCACGGGAGCGAGCGGGACCCCTCTTCCTCCTGGAAACCCAGAGAGCCGGAGCAAGCACGGCCATGGGGGCGGGGGGGACCTTCCCCACCACAGCCAGGGCCAGCGTGACCTGGGCCCGTCTGCTCTGTCTCCCAGTGGCAGCCAGCAAGCCCGTGGTCAGGGCCAGCCAGCCGGGGCTGACCTTCCCGGCCGGAGCCAGCACCAGCCTGACCTGTGTGGCCAGCGGGTCCCCCCCCATCAGCTACCGCTGGTTCCGGGGTGCCCCGGGGGGGACAGCCCTGCTGCTGAGCAGCCAGGCCGAGCTGGCCTGGGACAGCCTGCAGCCCTCCGACACCGGCGAGTACTACTGCGAGGCGGAGAACAGGGTCGGGGCCGGGGCCGTGCAGCGCAGCGACGCCGTCGAGCTGACGGTCAGAGGTGAGTGCCCAGAGCCACTGCGGGGGGCAGAACACGCCAAGTCCTTCCACACCGGAATGGAACAGTGTTCTGCATCCCTTCCCCAAAAGAAGAAAAGGCAAAAAGCCTCGTGTCTTCTGCACTCTGACGCATTTCTCTCCACTGGCTCTGGCTTTCTATCCTTTTTTGTTTCTTTATATTCAATTACCTCCTCTTTGGAGGAACCACTATTTTCTGATACCGGCGAGGTTTGATGTTTAAAGCACATACTTACTCCTCTTTGGCTTTTTTTAAATTCTTGATGGCTGTATAATTCTGCCTATTGCAGTTTAGCAAGTTTAGACAAGAGATCGGGATTTCATTTTGAGTATGAGGAACATCTGAGTGGCAATTAAGTAGGTGGAAAAAAACCAACTGGCCCTTTCTCCTCATGCTTGCCTGCGTATTTCAGGAGAACAAGCTGCACTTTATGCACACTCGGATGCCTCCAGGCTCTGCACGGTGGATGCCCTGTGGAAGACTTGCTGCTTTCCTTGGCTGGTAGCTCGGCTGTCAGAGCTGTGAGGGGCAGAGCCAAGCGCAGGTACCACACAGTGACCTTTAGGAGCAGCGAAGCCTGCTGAGCTTGGGACAAGGGTTATGGCTGAAATGATGCCTTGGTTTTCATAGCAACTGCATGTAAGAGCGTACAGCAAGGGAACAGGAATTAACAACGGCCATGCTCATTAACGCTGCTACACACAGTCCCCAACGTGTCCTCTGGAGCAGCTGGTTCCTCGTGGTCTTACCACCCATGGAGAAGTTCTGTATTGCAGCAGCATCACAAACATGGTCCGACTCCTGTGTGAGCCTCTCCCATTCCTCTTGCAGATCTGCCCACAACAACAGTGGCCCCTTGGCGGGATGTGGGGACCTCAGAGAGACACCACCCAACCACAGGTCAGGGCAGCAGCACTCACGGCTGACAGCACGACGAGGAGTCAGGCAGGGGGTCTGACATGGGGCTTAGCAGAGGGGTTTGTTGCGGGGGAATGCAGCCTTGACAATATTGTATCCCATTCCACAGGCCTCAGGTCTTGATCCAGATGTTTCTGAACGTAGAACATCCTCCTTTCCTCAGCCCCCAGTCCACAGGGGGCTTTTAGCTTGCTCCTAGGGAGGTTGTGTCTCTGATGAGAGGCTCCCAGAAATACCATTTCCTGACTTGTAGATCATATAGGATGTTCTGGGTTCTGTTCTTTTTTTTTTTTTTTTTAAAGGGCTTTTTTTTTTTTTGCTTGTTTTCTGATCTTGAATGAAAGCTGCTGAAGTGGGAGGCAGAGCGAGTATCTCTAGTGGCAAATACAAGTGATGCCAAAGCTGCTTCAGACCTGGCTGGAATCATTTTACCTGACCAAGGACAGGTGTTTTGAGGGAGGGCTTGAGATTTCCAGTTTGTTGATGTGGAAATTCAGACCTGCACTAGAGTAGCTCTGCTTGTGCTATGTTTCATTTGAATTCATAGTGCCCAGCAACCACACAGCAGGTTGTGGGAAGCAGCATCGGTGCCCAGAAGCCAAGGGAAGCTGTTGACAATTGTTGACTCTTCTTACAGAAAAAAAAACAAAAACCAGAGCTGGTGTTCAGGGGTACCTCTGTAATCTCTTGGACCTCACAGGGCTCCACCACTATTACAGGGGGGGTGTGTATAGACATGCATATACACATGTATATCGTGTGTATAGATACACAGTTTGTGTAGATATAGGATATATAGTGTATATATACCGCACATAGTAGTTCTCTAGTGTGTATATATAGTACAATATATACTCTCTCTGTATTATAGTGTATATGTAGTACCCAGTTCTAGTGTTTGCCTGTCTTTACTGCCTCATAAAGGTGATGGGGACATTCTCTTCTGATCCTCAGCTTTAATCCTGGATTTCCTGGTGCTGGAGTGAGGACTAGACAGGGACCATGAGCCTTTCACTCCTGTTTGTTTTGCAGATCTGCCCATAACAGTAGCAACTTCTGAGACTGGTGTGGGATATCCAGAAAAGAACTATACGACTCAGAGTAAGTGGAGAGCAAAACAAAGCCAAGAAGAGGACGGTAGTCAGGACTTCCAGCCTCAGAATTAGTGTTCTGCCTTCTGGCTGCGAATTGTGTTAGTGGCTGTTCTCAAGGGACCTACATGATTCATGGTGACTCTTTAAAAGACTCTGGATGTTTTTATGGGGAAAAAAACAAGCAGGGCCAGGCACATGCAGTACAACCCTGCGTGGCCACAACGGGGCTGGCTGCTCTTGCCCTCAGGGAAGTGGTCAGCATCATGTAACTGCAGCTGTGACCGGGACGGCTCCTCTATCGTTCCAGATCTCCAGAGGACTCACCTGCCCCTGTATGTGGTCGTCCTGATTGCTGTGGCTTGTGGTGCTGTGGTTTTCCTTATCGTCTTTCTTATCATCTGCATTAGAAAGCCCAAAGATGGTGAGTAGAATGTTCTGGAAGACCCAAATGGGATGTGCATGCCCAGCTTGGTTTTAGCTTTAAGGGTTTCTGGGGATGGGGCTGGTCCTGTGCTCACAGCTATTGGTAGCAGCCCTGGCGTCGTACCGGCGGCTGATCCCAACGTGCACGGATCTGAATAGGTGGTGGGAGATCTAGAGAGGCAGAGAAGCCCCTTTTCCTCAGGGAAGACCTGTCACAGCTGTGACATTCCTTAGGGACGGCCATTCCCCACCGGTCCTCGCGGGCACCCCATGGCTCCCAAACTTTCCTGCTCGATCAGATCTTTTACAGTATCTGGTAGCAAGTTAATCTTGTCATGCTACTTTAAAATAAAAACCTGATTGCACCAGCTGCTGTTCAATATTGCCCTTAGTACCTGGAGGAAAAGAGGTCACTGTCAGTTCTCCCTGCTCAACACAGATTCATTTCCTTCCTAGTCTTCACACGTAGGATATATTTACTGAATGCTTCTGTCTTTCCTGCCCTGACAGTAGAAAACCCCTGACCAAAAGCTTTCTCAGAGCCCCCTTTCCCCCTAACAGCACTCGGCAGTGTACAGAGAATACCTGGGGCTTTTGGTTTGGGGCTTTTTACTACTGGTAGCCATAGTTTTCTCCTTGTCCCTTTGCTTCTTTAATTACCCTCCTACAAGTCTGTGCTACCAATTAATAATAATTATTATCAAACACTCCTTTTTGCCTTTTTTCTTTTTTTTTATTTTTTAAGGAATCCAGAATAACCTCTTTCTAAATTGTTTTCAAACTTCTAATGAATTAAAAACTGCAGGAACTGGGAACTTCTAGTTTCTAAACTTAACTTTAACTTTGACCCTGGGCAAGTTATTTTGACTCAGTTGACTACAGCTGGGATATGGGTTGTTTTCATTTTCTTGAACTGAACCCTGGGAATAGGAGTCACCATCCACCTAACATGATCTCTAAAGTTCCTATTTTTACTCTGTCTTCAGAGGTCATTTCTTATACCAAGAAGAGACATAGTAGAAATTCTGTTTTGAGAATATAAATGCAAATTATTTACACAGTTTTCTGATTATTCTTTTCCAGCTCAAGTCTATGAAGTAAAATTGTGAGTATAACCCTTTACCTAACATACTGATGAGTCTTTGGGGACTGTATCAGAGCAGGAAAATAAAACGCCAGTGCTACTTAGCTGTCAGGATGAAAAGCCTCTTAAGCAGTACGGATGAAGAGGTTCAAAGTTAGCTCAATAGTGCATCGCACTGATGATCTGTGGGCTTTCCACATCAACACATAATGTAGGAAGAAAGACCTTTTCCTCTGCAATACTAGAATCATAAAAATGAGCAGGAGTTGTTTATTAACTCCTCAGCCCAGTGATGAGGCCTATTGCAGATCGTTGCCAAGGATAAATTCCCAGTGTTTTTTCAAATGCAAAGAACAGGAATTCCTCTTCTAAAGAGCTAAGGCTCCCAATGCACAGATTATACTCTGATTTATCCCTGAAATATCCTTGGCTGACCTTGCCTCTTTTAATCATAGCTGTGGCAGTAAGTTACAGCTATCTATAAATTCAGGTTTCAGCATCCTGATTGACTTTAGCCTATGGGAGGTATACTGAAAGACTAATATTCTAGTCAAAACATACAAGGAGAACCACTTATCTAGGTATAAAGTGCTGGTGACTTGAGGGCCGTGGTAGAACACGTTGTGCAGGTGCTGTGTCTCCCAAGCAGTTTATAAAGCAGCATTTTAAGTAGCAACTGAACCCTGAGCAAATAAACAAATGGTGTGATAGCATTTCTCCTGAGAGGATTTACCTTCATTCTAAAGGTATCAGATACCATAAGCCACATGGTGGCTGTGGACTTCATTCCGTTCACCATTTACCACTCCTCCACCACTTCTTTTAATACATATGTATTTATCTTGCAAAGAGCAGTTGTGTGGCTGTGCCACTCCAAGAAGTAGTGGTAATCCTTGTGCTTACATACCTTTTGCTGCCTCTGGAGCTTGCCCTGGGTTGCAGGCAATGCTGCTACAATGCCCGAGGTTCTCCTGCCACCTGGAAGCAAAGGACAAGATCCTCTCCTTCAGAATAGTCACAATCCCATGTCCCAGGTTTACATGGGTTTGAATCAGACCACAGTCTTGCTCAAAATCTTGATGGTTGGGAGATGCTTTGTCTAGTCTGGTTGCAACGCTCCTTTCATCTTGTATTTTGATTTCAGCCATAACTCAAGAGCAGCTTCTTCAAGGTGTGAAAGTACTGGTCATTATGAGGAACCCATCTCCATCACTGAAAACAACTATGTGATGGAGCCTGTGAAAAACAAAAGCTCTGAAGAAATAAATACGAAAAAGGATGAATGTGAGTGTGTTGGAAACACCCAGGAATCTGTGTATGAAGTAGGGGACACTGTATGACAGCCAACACTGCTCTAAGGTAGCAGTCCTGAAGAGTACCTTCATCCAGGCAATATTTATTTTCCTATTCACCTTTGCCTCTGAAAAAATAGGTTGGGCAAGCAGTTTTTGCTCCTCCACAATTTGTGGAGCCTTAATGTCTGCAGTGAAAATGCAAACCTCTGTAGGAACTTCAGTTCCAGGCTGCTGTATAGATCTTCTGGTTTGGCTTTTCCTGGTTCCCTTTCCCCACCTCTGTAGCAGAAAGCCCTTTCTAATCTGGTGTGCAGACCCCAGGCCAAGAGCACGGTACCAAACCTCCTGCTTTCGAGGGCCAAAACGATCTGCGGTCACAGCCTTCGTGTGGCGGGAGCAGGGCCAGCGCCAAGGGCTGCTCAGCATCCCCCTCGCCTCTGGCAAGCAGCGCGGCCGAGCCAGGGCTGGGAACCCGCCTGAAGGGCTGCGCAGGTGGTAGAGTGTCCCTTAAATGCCCTTAAAGAAACTGAAAGACAGGTTAAAGCCAGGATACAGCCAAGAACTTTACCACACCAGCAGTACAAAAAGAAGAAACGTCCCGTGCACCCGCCGTGCTGCGCTCGAGGCGCCCTCCTGCAGCGGCTTCTAGTTCTGGCACTGGAGAGCTCGGGCGATTTTGGCACTGCAACAAGGCACATTCTTCCTGAGTTCACCTGCTCTATTGTCTCTTTTAATGCATGTTTAATATTGGAAAAAAAAATAGATACTTTTCGTTAAGTTTGTGGATAGGATTGCTTACACGTGCCTAAATTATTTTGATATATTTTTGCATGACCGATTCATCTTTAAACCACTAGCAAGCACTCGCAGCTACGGCTCCTCAGCAGATACTCAAGAAGTCGTTTCCTCCTGCCTTAGAAGGCCTGAAGGCCAAGTAGGGAGCCGAAAAGCTTTGTTATTCATAATTTCTACTACCCTGAGTAAATCTATAGCATGGATACTGCAGAGGTGTGGAAGAACCTTTTTACAACGCGGGGTAGGGCACTGCCGTGTCCAGTCGGGAGCCACGCGGACAGGTGTAAAACAAAATGGGGGGTCTGAGGGGTGAGGGGGGTATCAGCGGCACGGATACAGGATTAGTGGGCCCCCAGATTTGCTGTTCACACTCAGGAAAGACCTGCACCTGCAGTTCTCTGCAAGCATCAGCTCAGAAGTCACAGCAATCAAAAAGGGCATTTGGTGTCATTAGGAAAGTCACTACAGTGCAATAGAGAACAGGCTTGTGGTCCTGTAAACACCCTGGAATGTTCCACCTTGTGTATGTGTGTAGTTCTCCTCTCAAAAGGGTGTAACAGAGCTAGGAAAGTGACTGAGAACGATAACAAAGGATGATTAGTGGCATGAAACCACTTCTGTGCAAATGCATTATACTTTCTCAGCTTGGAAAAAAGGGAATAAGGCAAAATGAGTGAAGTGTACCAGTGTGGAGAGGATGAACAGAGACTAATTGTTTACAAATTGTCTGGAAAGGAAGCAGACAGCTAAAATTATCTGTTAGTACTTTTAAAGGGAGAGGAAAAGTGTTTCTTTTACGCAATACAGAAATAAGCGTGGAATGAAATGCTATTCGTCCAGTGTTATAAAAATCCAAAATACACAGAGGTTCAATGAGAAATTAGAGGAATGAATGACATAAAAGTTCATCAAAATTCACAGACTGCCAGGCTCACTTTACCTTACCTTACACATAAGTTCTCTGTCAGTGACCTTATACTAGCTCCCTCAATTTCCTATACCACTAGTTTTATTTCTCTTCATTAAGAATGTACTGAAAAATCAAGGGCTGGGAAACCTTGATTTCAAAGTGGAAAGGGGACAAACAGCAGATTTTGTTGGTGATGGTGTCTTGGAAAAAATTGTCAACATGTACATGCAGCTTATTGCAAATGTGGAGAAGCAAACAAAAATCATTAAACTTCAGGACTGCAAAGTTAGTGGTTTTGTTACACTGCTCTTATTTTCCTATAAAAGTGTGTGTGTGTGAATGTCTGTGTGTGTTCAGGAATTACACTCCTAGGAACATATTAGGTGCCTTTACTTGAAAGCGGAGGCATTGGTGTGAACCTGCAGAGTTCGGGATAGTTCTGGCCGGTGCGAGGTGCCATTCGTAGGCTGTAGCCAGCCACAGTTTAGGGAACAGACGATGCAGGAGTTGCTGCCAGTCCAATTAGAGGTTCAGAGCTAATGAGATGAGGTGTTTAAGGTGTGACAGAAAATGAGTTCTGTTATGGAGTGTGAAAAGCCAGTGAAGTCTGTCAGTCTTTTCTCCTAAGCAGGAAGGTGAGTAGGGGAGAGAAACTGTTGCAATAGTATTGCAAGGCACACAGTTATCACTGAAAGGGTTTTTAGAGAACAACAGAAAATCATGGCTGGATAGTGTGTTAATGTGATGACAAATCCAGAGTGTTGAAATTTTCTGGGAAACTGTCATATTTTCTTAATCTTTCTATTCTAGATGAGGTTGCAGTTTTTGAAGCCCTGCTGTAAATGAGCACCAAGGAGATGAAAGCTCAGAGGCCGTCGTATATACACGGGCCCCTTTTTTAGTGCTAGGAGGTACTTAGAAGGATTTGGCTGAGACAGTGGGTGACCCAGAACTGATGTCATTGCCCTGGGAATTCCTGGGGAGGGAAGTTAATTTTCAGAGAGCATGCATATATCATGTCTTTGTCACATAGGCCTTGAAGGAGATGCTTGTTTCCACTAAGTTTCTGTTTCTTTAGGTGGAACAAACGTCATGTTTTCATGTCTGTCTGTACAACTGTCTGGTGTATGGGAGAGAACTGTGGTGTACGTGCCTGCAGAGGCTCATACAATCAGCTCCTGTGGGGCGTCCAAAAACTGCTTAGTAAACCACGCTCTGTGAGTTGGCTATGGCTGCACCAAATAACAATGTCTCAACTCCTGCAGTAAAATTTGCCTTTTTTTCTGAGTGCAGATGATTCAAAAGGAGCACCTTGAGACCTTTCTTCTTCAGTTACCTACTTTTTGGTGGTTTGCTGAAAGCTTGGTGCTGAATTTCACCCCCTTGCAGGCTAAAAATCTTAATTCATCACCTGGAAAATCGTAGCAAACTTCTCTAGCCTCTTGCAGACTATGTCAAGACATGGGTGTAAGATGCAGGCTCTGCAGAGCTGGTCCCTGTGAGTAGGGTCTGAGGTCCCATCTGCACTCATTTTCAGGGAAACGGGGACTTTACTGTGCTACCTCTAATTAGCCTGGCATGGAGTGGCAGAAATTGCAGAACAAAGAGTCATTCCTGGTCGCTTTGTCTAAGCTGTGCCACCTGAAGAAATGGTGCTAAAGTGTGTCGTGTCCAGTATGTGGAAGAAAGGTGAGTGCTGGGGGAAAAGGCTGCAGAGTGCTTTACCTGCCTGGCACTGCAAGGGAGAAAGCAACGGATTCAACCCAGAGCAGAGACATGAAATAATTATGCTTCATTATGATAAACCAGGTAACTAGCATTAAAAGCTTTTCCTTCCTGTGTTCAGATGCAAAACTATGAGGAGTGCCTCTGGTGAGACTCCTCAGGGAGGACACTAGCAGTGACATCCCTGTCCCAGGGAGAGCAAGATGTCATGTACATCACATTTGAGGAACTACAGTTATTCATGATTGTTTTAGCTAAATAGTCATTTTTTTATCCTGTATAATTACAGCTTCAGGAAGTCTTGCATGTCCGGTTCAGAAAGTTGTCACATCAGCAGTTTTAGCTTGGGTTTTCAGCTTGCTCTGGGGCATGTTCCCCAAAATCCAGCTTCTTTTAAAGTCTTTTGTGTAAGAGATAGTTTACTGGTTCTAACGCCAGTCACGGGGCAGGGTGTGCAAAAGGTTGGGTTTAAATCATCTCTCTGGAAACTGGTTCATACTCACTCTTTCCATGACATGAGCTGAATTTTAACAAGTGCTTTTCTGTTCATTTGTTTGCTTTTAGGCAGGATTCAAGCATAGCTCATGGCTTCTTGGTGGCAGATGTGGTACAGGCAGTATGACCTGGTACCACACAGGTAGCTCCAGAAAACAAGTCAAGAAGAAAAGGCTACAAATGTTTTTGCTAAAAATGAAGTTTCCACCACAGCAGCAAGGAAATGCTCTGCAAGAATGGGTGGTGCTGCTGCCTCCATCGTCTCCCTCGGCAGGATGACAGCCAGGGTAGCTCTCGGCCCAGAACCTCGTATGAATTTGTCTGGCCACACCACATTCAGCTTTTTGTTGCAAGCTGCCCACGCTTGCCACAGGCAGGTTTCACTGCAGCCATAATCAGAGCTCAGCTGAAATCACCTTCAGCAAGCTGTCCAAGCGTGGACGTGCCTCCACCTGAAGGCTGAGAGGAGACCTGCAAGGTTCTCATCAGTTTACTGACGTTGGGCAAAGGAAGATAGTCTCCAGTTTTCATTGCCCTGCGTGGAAAGGGCACAGGCTGTCCCTGACCAACGGCAGCACTTCCAGAGAAGGCTCAGAGCTCAGCTGCACTGTCAGGAGTTCAATTACTGCAAACAGGTCTCTCATGATGGGGCGTAGCTGTGGAAAACTACACCAACTATCCTTCCCTCCCAGCTCCAGCAGAAAATGACTCCTGTATTTCAGACACATCTGCTCAAAGACACCATTCTCCTGGTGCTGTTGTTAAAACTATATGCTAAGGCATGTCTGTTGAATAAATGTCCAGAAATTGCTTTCATGATTGATTAAAAGCCTGTAACAGAATTCACTAGGTCAGTAGATTTGTTTTTATATATTTCTTATCTTCTGTAATTCCTTCTGCTTTTGGTAATAATTACAGGCACATATTAATCCTGTGCATAACAATACTGACAGACAACTCCTGGATGTCCTTCCAGAGCATACCCAGAGTTACACCCCTCTGCCATCAGAGACAAGTCCCTCCTTAGAAAACACCATGTGTGCTTGCAGGGCATGAAACATGGTGACTGTTGCCCATGAACTGGAATACTGCAGCAGAAATTTGTACCAAGATGGTCTGTGATGCTGTGAAAATGGGAGCCAGGCAGCGACCCTCTGTTCCCCAGCAGACGGTGAAAGCCTGCGTAACATTCAAGGTGGGTGACTCCGGTTCAACCTTCCGCTCCCGCCTGCGCCGCCTCGGTGGCCCTGGCAGTGGAACTGCAGCTGCACTGCGACAGGACACGGCTGCTGTGAGCAGAGCATGGAGCTTCTGCAGGGAAATTCTTATCACAGAGCAGGATGTTGGGGGTTTTTAATACTTCTTCTCTCCACATTTTCTGTTAGAAAAAAGCAGTAAAAGTGGCATCCTAGGTTTTCTGATCTAAAAGGCTCAGACAGTTTGGCAAAGAAATGAGGGCTGGCTGTCGCCCTCACTCAGGTCACACGCTGACCTGTCCAAGGCAAAGGGGATTGCCCTGGGAGAGCCTGTTGCAGCAGAGGGTGGTACAAGCTGTGCAGAGCCCCGTCAGTGGGGGACAACACCAAGGGAATGGAACTGAGCATCGGGTAGTCGGTCTCTGCCCCGGGCTCCTGACTGACATTAGGGGGCACTCGGGCCTGTGCTTCTCCATCTCTAGGTGCCCCATTTGGGCCCTCATGGTACAAAGGAGAGAGATCCTGAGCACTCTGCTGAGCAGTATCACCACACACGAGTCAGGAGAATGGAATTCCTGCTTCACAAGCATCCTCAGGTTTGCTTCCCCTTGCTACCAAGTGCCCGACTGTGTAGGCATCATAAAGCTCCCTCTTTCACTGTGAAGTGAATGCAAATGTGGAGTAAAAGAAAAAAGAAGGAAAAAAGAAACACACAATTATGAAGAATAAAACCACTAGTCATAAAATTCAAGAGAATGGTAAGAGAGGTGGGTGGGGACAGGGGAATGTGAAATGGAACAGGAAGGATCCTTACAGTCTTTGTCCATCCTTTCTCCTCCAAGTCAGCAGTGAAATGGACTCGTGATATTTCAGAAAGAGGATCCTAGATGACAAAGGGCAGAAGAAAGGGAAGTGTTCTTCACTCGCATTCTGGTCCCAGGAGTGCGGGGGTCTCTCACCAAGTGCAGGGGAAGGAGGACGGCCCTGCAGTCCCGGGAGAATGGGGGCAGCTGTGCGGACACTGGTGTTTGCAATGGCTCTCGGCACCTGCAACGGTGAGTAAACACCTCAAGGTATCAGAACAAAAATCAGTGTACTAGGAGAGTAGGGAAAAACCTTTGAATTATAGGGTCTTATTTTTAAAAAGTTGTCAGGTTTGGAAAGTCTTTAGTTTCTTATATGAAAAATAGAGCCTGAGAATTCACAAGTCTCCTTTGGTATCAGATACAAGAAGACGCTTTCAGGAGCAGAGCAAGCGGAGGGTGGTATTGGGCAAAAGCTCAGCTCCCATACCCCAAAGCAAAAACAAAACAGGATTTTTCAGGACACTTGGAGAGGACCCTGCTCCAGTGTGTTCATTCCAAACGAGTCTGTGAAGCTGGAATATGCATTCATCTAGAATTTAATAATGCATCACAGTTGTTCTGCTAGCATGGGCCTAGGAAGGAGAGGACCTGTAATTGTGAGACTGGGTGCAGGCACTCAGGACTCCCCTTGGTCTCTCCTGATCAGTGGCTCTTGTGGTGCATTAGGGGGGTGACACTGGAATCTTCACCTCAATTCATGCGCCCATGAGGCAGAGGTGCCACTCCCAGGGCACGTACGACACTGGCACCGGCAGAGGAAGGTTTTGGGAAACAGGAGAAAGGTGCTTGAACAATTTGTACACAGAAGTGCAGAATTGCTCCTGACATTTAGAAAAATGGGTTGAAGTATGTTCCCCATTTTATCATTAAAAAAAACAGCTTTGCAGGTATCTGGGATCTGCCTCTCAAGCACTTACTGTGCGTTAATGCAGCGGAACATAACCAGTGCCTGGCTGGGGAGGAGGGGAAAGGGGCAGCGGGATAAGAGGGTAGGGGTAGAGGTGAGCCAAGTCCAGCTAAGTTCAAATAATGTGCTGCTTACAAAAAGGCACTTCCCAGAGGAGCTGTGGTCTCAGTGGGCAGCCAGCTGGAGAGACAGGGAGAATGATCCAGGTGCTACAAAATCCACCCCCTCTTCTCCTGCGCCCACTTGAGTGCTTGGCAGGGTGCTCCCGTGGTTGAAGCTGGTGTAATCCAATAAATCTGGGTCAGATCTGAAGTTCTCTAAGGCTAAAGCCAGAAGATGGGTTTGCTCCACCGTTCCTGTCCCAGGTCCCTAAAGGCCTGCAGGACCCCAGGAGAGCTGGTGCTGGCAGGTTAGGAAGGAAGATGCTCAACCATTTAGAAAGTGGGCCAGAATAGAAGAGCTCAATTTTTTTCTGTTACCATGCATTATGGATAATACAAATCCCTCTGATCAGCCTTCTGATCTCTAACACAGCCCTTCAGGTTTTTGAATGGTCCAGCTCTATTTCCCTCCAGTGGGAGAATTCACACTGTTTTTTCTGGAAGACTACATCCCTGTTTAAGAAGGGTCACTAGGAGGAAATACTTCTTTTAAAAACGCTGTCTCAGTGGGTTTTATTTTGCCGAGTTTCTCCCATTCCTTCCAGTCAGGTCTCCTTTGGAATCAACCCTGCTAATGTTGAAACTGGTCACAGAGAGAGTGCAGCTGCTCCGCAGGCAATCAGTGGCTGCTGGCAGCTCTTTCATGGCACACAGCAATGCAGAGCAATACGGGAGAGAAGTTTAAACAGAATTGTGTCAGATGAATACACTGGATAGCAAACATAATTGAACTTGAGCGTGCCTTGAGGTTATTTCTGAGCAGTTTTCTAAATAGCTTCCACCCTTCTTAGCTTTTCTTGGTGGGAGTCTGTGAAAACAGGAAGACAAATGGAAAACCTTTTAAAACTGATGCATCAAGGAGCTGCATTTGACTGGATGTGAGGTTTGAAGAACAGAGCTGTGCTTGCCCTCTCAAAGTCATCCCGTAAAGGAAAACCAAAGCTCTGTGTCAGAAACAAGCTTCCACTGTGCTCAGCCTCAGCAGCCCTTTGCTGTCCTCGTGGACACAGACCCATGGACACTTTCCTTTCCCAGCCAGCTCCTCCTGCTCCCTCTGGCACAGGCTGTTACACAGAGGAGTGCTTCTCCCCACGCAGCAATACTGCGGGGTCCTGTGAGCGCCAGGGAAGTTGCATAAAAAAATAGTGATGCTAATGAATGTAAATATGTTGTGTTCATTATCAGTTACAGTGAAGCTGTAAATTTTTTTCATGCTTCCTCCCATCTAGAACTTAGCAGCCAGCACTGCAAGTGGTGTTGTCAGAGCATCCGTCTCGGTGAGGGGAGTCTGTTGCCCTTTGACTCATCATGTGCGAGTGTCAGCAGAAAGCCAGGCAGCAGAGGCAGGATGTAAAGGCTGGGGCTAGACAGCAGGAATAAGAGTCGCTCCTTAACATCCTGTGAAGACTGTGGCTGTGATGCTGCCACCAGGAGCAGGATTTGTGCCTCTCTGTACCAAGAAGGAATTGAGAACTGGCAATTGTCCAGAGAGAAACAATAAAAATAGCCATGAGGCCGACACAACCGCTCACTTCCCTGTGCTCAGTGAGGTGGGGACAGGCCCTGGTTTAGCTGGCTGCAGCCTACAGCACATCTAAGACGGGGCCGCGTGCTGGCGATTCCTGTCTGCTCTCTGGTTCTTATCCCCTCCCTGCAACTGCTGTTCCCTGCAGGATCCCTCCTGGATCTGTCTGGTGTCCACCAGGTCAAGGGCACATGGATGGGATCCACCACTTTACCCTGCACCTACGTGCCCTCGGAAGGTTTCACAGAGCAAACACTCAGGTGGAGCGTGGAGCGAGACGACAGCACCGCGACCATCTTTCGGAGGGACAACTCTGGTGACCACGTCTTGTTGTCTCGGTTCCGGGACCGGGTCAGCGTCCCGAAGCACAGCCCAGGGAACGCCTCCCTGCTAATCGAGAACCTTGAAATCCCCGACAGCGGACACTACACCTGTCAAGTTGTCTGGAGGTCTCAAAATAACAGCTTGATAACAAAGGAGGTGACCACGATGGTTAAAATTGTCAAAGGTAAACTGCTCTCGTGCTGCCAGTCCCACAGAGCGTGGAGGAGGGGCAGCTGGTGGGAACAGCCTGTCACACCTCACCCGCCACCTGCGCCCAGGCTGGGCCTTGAGGCACCCTCCTCCCCTGCCGAGTTGTCCTTCGCCCCCCCAGTGCAGGTGCAGGGGTGGGGAAGGGGGATCACTCCGTGTACATCCCACTCTGGGTCTAGCAGTGGCTCACTCGGGCCCGCGGTGCTTGAGGTCACATCCAGGTCTGGTTTGGGTTTTGTGCAGGTGGGCACCACCCCTGTGGTTCTTGTAGCAAAGGCGACAGCACAGGGGTGTTGCACCACCCACATCTGCCTTCCGCCCTTCCCGAGCACCCTCCGTGTGTGCTAGAAGGACCCATCTTTCTGCTGGGGGGGCACCCACTTGAAACAGCCAGACTGTGTGATAGGGCAGTACGATGGCGGCATAGCTGGTGTAAACCCAGCTTTAGGCACGGGTGAGCCCAGCTGACCCTGCACAGAGCGGGGCCACGGGAGCGAGCGGGACCCCTCTTCCTCCTGGAAACCCAGAGAGCCGGAGCAAGCACGGCCATGGGGGCGGGGGGGACCTTCCCCACCACAGCCAGGGCCAGCGTGACCTGGGCCCGTCTGCTCTGTCTCCCAGTGGCAGCCAGCAAGCCCGTGGTCAGGGCCAGCCAGCCGGGGCTGACCTTCCCGGCCGGAGCCAGCACCAGCCTGACCTGTGTGGCCAGCGGGTCCCCCCCCATCAGCTACCGCTGGTTCCGGGGTGCCCCGGGGGGGACAGCCCTGCTGCTGAGCAGCCAGGCCGAGCTGGCCTGGGACAGCCTGCAGCCCTCCGACACCGGCGAGTACTACTGCGAGGCGGAGAACAGGGTCGGGGCCGGGGCCGCGCAGCGCAGCGACGCCGTCGAGCTGACGGTCAGAGGTGAGTGCCCAGCCCGGAGCAACTCGTCGCCACTGCACGGGGCTGAGGCAGGGAGTTTCCTCTCTCGTAGACACCTGACACGGAATGTGAATGGTGTCTCGATCGCCACCCAGAGAGGGGACCACGGGGGCTGGCACCCCCTGCTTCAGAGCGCTGATGGCGGAGGGCTCAGGTGTCCCCGCTGTCCCTCTGGGGCGGGGGCCAGGCCCCTGCCCTCAGCCTGTCTCTTATAC